ATCATTGTCTGATTTATAGTGACATTTTTCTTTCAAGTCTTTGGAGCATCTCTTTGGTTACCAAAGCTAGATGGAAACACCTCTATGATATTTGCAATGCTTATAGCCGTAGCTGAAACCTCGGTGGAACTAAGGAAAGTTAATTAGGTGTTCCCAAAATACACATCATTTTATGATTTTGCAGATCACCCCGATGAAAATAACGGTCTAATTTCGTCAAGTCATGTAAATTACAGTGAGAGGGATGATGAGAGTAGGCAATTCTCAGTTCTTTGGAGGAGTTAATTTTGTTGTCAGCACATCCACATTTCCAAAAATCACAAACCATAGGCAGAACTTTCTAGCACAAGTGAGATTTGGTGATCAGATACTATTTCCATTTCTAACGTCTGTCTTCTATAAAGGGTCTATGCAAATAGGGGCTTTCAAGAATGTAAAACTAACAGCTTCCCCTATTAGGAGCTTAGCAAGCAGCTGCCATGCTTTCTCATAAAAGATAGAAAACATCCTGTTTACTAACATAACGCCCATATGCCCTCTCCCACACACACTCACACCAAGCTCTTCTATTTAGGGGGAGCTTTTATTTTGGCATGAGACAGGCAGCACAGAAATGGAGCTTCATTCAAGTCTTTTGCAAACGTTTTTTGAGCACACACTCCCAGGGTGCTAAGTAGGTGTCAGACATTGTCCTAGATGGGAAGAATCCACTGATGTTTGAAGCATAGTCTCTGGCTGGACTGGGAATCTGTTGGAGGTTCTGGAGGTGTTGGCAGGTTCTTTGCAGCCGGTCTCACCTCCTTATTTTTAATATTTATGAACTATGCTCATCAAGATGTCAGTAGGTAGGAAATGAAAGTAGCTGAGAAACCCTGCCAAGATAGAACAAATCCCAGAGTGAGCTAAAAATATATGGCCCACAAGGATGTACAGTAAACCAAGATATGCTCTTAAAGCAGAAAACTAAGTTTTGTACCAAAGTCCAGGTTCTGACCTCATTGTCAGACGATCAATAGGCTACAGATTTCACCTGCATTCCCCACAGACCTGTTAAGAAATCAAGACCATGTACTTTTTCTATAAGCCTGGAGTCTGCCCAGAATATGAGCTCATTCATGTGTTAGCTTAAGTAAAACTCATGATAATGTAGAAGATGAATCATCTCCCTATTTTGAAATGCATATATTCTATAGCTCAATATTTCTGGAGTCCCTTCTGATAGCTAAATGATTTTTCTCCTTTGTTTCTTTTAGGTCTTGATTCAAATGCACCTTATTGGAGAGCCCTATCTTTTTGGGGGGTTAGGGGTACTGAGGATTGAAATCAGGGGTATTCTACCACTGAGCCGCATCCACAGCCCTATTTTGTATTTTATTTAGAGACAGGGTCTCATTGAGTTGCTTAGTGCCTCACTTTTGCTGAGGCTGGTTTTAAACTCATGATCCTCCTGCCTCAGCTCTGGAGCTGTTGGGATTACAGGCATGTGCCACCACACCTGGGGGAGAGCCCTGCTTGACAATAACTCCCACTGCTCCACTCCCAATCTGCTTATCAAACTATACTTTTTCCATGTCACTTATTATAGCCCAATATATCATGGTATGCTCTTGTCAGTCTTTCCTATAAGATTGTAAGCATCCTGTGAGCCAGACTTTTGTTTGCCCAACACTGTATCCCTGTACACTCAAAGAGCACCTGACACATAGGTATCACTCACTACTCAGTTTTTGAGGGGGTAACTGGGGTGGCTGTTTGGATTGTTAGTTTACTAACTTAAGACATTAAGTTAGTAAAGAACATTAGTCAAGAACTCTTAGAGTTAGATCAGAATTTAGGAATCTCTACAACCCTATGTTACAATATCTTTCCCTCCAATATTCCTTTGTACGATTTTACCACTGTGATCTTTACACTTTGAAAGATGTAACCTGGAAACTACATTTATTAAGTAACATTTAATTCTTTCTCCATTTTTATAAATTTGAGACAAATATAACTGCTCTCAGAGTTCTGATAACCAGAGGAAGTACATTGAAGTGATGTCGTTCTAGCGCCGAATGAAAAATGCAGATATTTCAATAAGTTTATTTTTTCAATTTTTTACTAGATCTTTGTGGTTATACATAGTATTTGGGCTCATTCTGAAAAAAAAATCAGACATGCATGGAGATTGATTTCAGTTCATGATCGCCCCCTTTTTCTCTTCTCCTTTTCCCTTCCCACCTCCCCCTCCTCTTCTCCTTCCTCTATTAGACTTCTTTTCGCCTGTCATTAATTTGTATTTGATTGATTCTTTATGTAATCTTATCCTCCCTTCCCCGCTTCTTTTATTTTACTCTAACTTCCACATATGAGAGGAAACATTCGACCTTTGAGTTCGACCTTTGAGTTTGGCTAATTTCATTTAGCATGATCAACCCAGATGCCTATCAACAGATGAATTGATTGAGAAATTTTGGTATATATTGTATACAATGGAGTTCTCTTCAGTCATTAAAAAGAATGAAATTATGGCATGCTGGTAAATGAGTGGAAATGGAGAATATAAAGAATATAAGGTTTTTTTTATTGGGTAAATAAGTGACAACATTTGTCCTGCTTGACTTTTTGAGATCTCAGACATAGCTTAAGAATCTCTGTTGCCAACTTCTTGGGCCCTTAGTTGTACAGACATCTTGGTAAAGAACCTGGGAAATGAGCCCAACACACTCATTTTATGGGTGAGAAAATCTAAGACCAGGCAAATTTAGTGACTTTCTCAAGATCCCTTGTTGTGAGGCTTCACTGACAGGGACTTCTGAATCCTAGGCAGAAGCTGTGTTTATTGGTCTGTGTGTCTCTCAGCTATTGAACTGAGCACCACCTGAATTGTTTCTCAAGGTGTTCTGTGGACTACCTGTTTCAGAATGTTCTGGAGGGTCTTGCATAGCCTCTTGGCCCTGCAGATTCAGAATTTCTGGGAAGAGGACCTGAGACTCTGTCAGTTATCAGTTCTGCAGGTATGTCTTATACATACCAGAGTTTGAAAACCAGTGATCTATTGTGTGCAAAGATTCTTGATTCTCCTCCACTGGGATGGAAAGATTAAAAATTTTTTAATCATATCACCAAATGACATGAATGCATATTTATTGAGCACTTTGGTCAACAGCTTTTCTCAAGTAGGGAAAATGACCTGTTGAAAATCTGGTTGTCATCAAATTAGATAATATGACTAGTTCATTAATCTTGGTAATTCATTCATTTCTTCTGCAAACTTTGTAGAGTGTAAGGTTCCAGGGATTCACAGATAGTCTTTCCCTCATATAGTTGAGGGAGAGAGGCATGAGTTCACAGGGCTACAGGATGAAGTAGTGCAACTAGCAAAGGTCAGGTACTTATTAGGCCACATTCCTGAACTTCTTCACATACTCCTAACATCTCTCCAGATCCACCAAACAGTCTCAGTCTTTAACCAAAGAATAGGGAAGAAGCCTTCTATTTAAACACAAAAACTCTATTTATTGTGTTTTGGTTATTGCTTGCTATTAATTTGCAGAAGCTATTCCTAGCCCCTTGGTGCCAAAATGACTGTCGTCATATCACCCTCTGCCTTTGTTCTAATAAATTTTCACCACTCTTCATCGTCTTTGGGGCAAATCATATAGTTCATCAGCATTTCACTTCTTGACATACAAGCCTGAAATTGAACAATTCAAAAAATTTCCCAGAAATGGCCTTTGTGGGATTTTAATTTAATTCTCTGCATGGTGAAAACTGCTGAAGACATTTTTCAAAGGCTAGGCTATTGAATATTTTATACCATGAAAACAGTCTGAGGAAAGGGTTGGGGACTTAAGGCCACAAAAAAAAAATAAGGGAAAATATACTTGGGGAAACCTTGTAAACGAGAACTTCTCATAAGAATATTAATATCTTATTTTCCTCATCTTGAAATTTCCTCAGGCCATGTGCTGAATGAACTGCTTCATGGTTGTAGTTTTGTTGTTCTTTCCATGTTACTTTGAAATTCTCCCCGTGGCTATCATATTGATTTCAACACTGTGGTCATCATTATAGGAAAATGGAGGCATTAATAACTTGGTCTCTATGGACAGATTGTAATAGAAAACCTTATAAATAATTGCCCACTAATGGGAAAATTGAAAATATGCACTGTATTATATTGGTCATAATGTAATCATTAAAATTACAATTATGTGACAATGAAAGAACTCATTACGCATTAGTTTATCTTTACATAATGTTAATAGCTAATGAAAGTGTGACAATTACATCTAATTAAGCTTAACAGCATTTCTGCACTTCTTATAAACTGGCTATATTTTTCTCCAAATAGTTTATGTGGAGACATTAAGTGAAGCTGAGGTCTATCTTCAATACGAATTTTGCAATGTAACAAAAGGTCCCTTGAAACACTGTAACTTACTGCCTTTTTAACAAATGAACTGAAAATATGAGTTCTTACCATTGATAATTTATGCAAAGGTTTCTCCAATTGTGTCATTGATATAGTTAAAATGAACTGGATGTGTACTTAAATCGTCTTTGTTCTGTTTTTAGCAATGGATTTGTTATACCAAATTCTGAGATTAGAGGAGATCTACCTAAATTAAGGCTAATTTTAGAAGGAGCAGTATTGGTTCTTGCTATAGATTCTGGTGCACCACTATTCACCACATCCTGTATGATCTAGATCAAGGGTAAACTTTCAGTTTTCATATGTTTAAAATGAGGATGAAAGTAATACTATCTTCCATCAGCATTTTTTAAAAATTATACTCAATATTTATAAATTTCATAGCCATTGCCTGGCATGTGATAAGCATTAGTAAACATTATTATTATGAATTAGTGTATCCATTTTATAATATTATATCTGTATTATAGTATCCAAAGTATAATTCCTAGCTATTGTCACATTTTACTCTAAATAACATTTTGTTGTATATTTAATCACTTGGAGTTTTATTTTTCTCTCCTTTATGAAAAATCTTCAGCTATATAATAATGAAAACAGCATAGAGTCCCTCAGTCTGCAACTGGCCTTTGTGTTCTTCAAAATGGGCTTTGAAGATTGGACCTCTGAAAGACATTGGCCAAGTCACCAAGGTTTCCAACAGCTCAAGTCTCACTTTCAGATTGGTGGACTGTGGTGCTCCTTCTGGAGAATGGAATGACCTATGGCTACTAACAGCAGTCTTGTATCATTAAATTGTTCTAGAAAATCCAAGTAGAAGTTTGCAAACACAGTTGGTGGCCTCTATCCATCTAAGAAGCCATGAGACTGGTCTCTATTTTTCTTTTGTTCCCTTTAAATGTTCATACCAAATAAAACATTCCTTACCCAAGAGGACTCATTCACTCCCATGGTGCCAAAGGGCTAATATTATCTCCCTTTCTGAAACACTCCTAAACATGGTGTCTTCAACTAGGTTGGCTACTGGGCATTTTCTATGTGAAACATGATCTTTCCAGGTTTGGATCATCTTTCCAAGTCAAACTCTGACTGAGTTACCAGGTCCACAACTACTTCCTTCATAATTTCGCTTGATTATAGGCTTTATTTATTTTTTAAGGCTCTTATATCACACCTAGTTTGTCATAATATTCTCCACCTTTTCTCATTTCTCATCTTTTGACTTTCATTCCACATTTTGTACACCTACCAGAATAATCTTCCTAAATCTCTTTGCCTGTCATTCATCTACCCACAACACTTTGATGGCTTCTCATTGCCTATAATCTTTCATCTGGCATTCTTGTCCTTATGAAAATTTTACTCAACCATTTCTCTAAGTTTATGACCATCCAGTCTCTGCAGATAGTCTGTAGCCAGAGCAATTATGCCTGCTCATGATTCCCCAGGACACATTCTGAGCCTGGATCTTGGCTGGTTGCATTTTCCAAACTGAACTACCCTTCCTTCTATATTCTTGTCATATAAATCTTTTAAGGCACAGCTCAAGAATCAATTCTTCCATGCAGCTATCTCTAACAACCCATTTATCTCTCCTTCCTATGCGTGACTTAAGAACTTGTATCTTGTACCTTGTACAGACTGGTTTGACTGTCTATCTTTTATGTATGTTTCTGGCTGACCAACAAGACTGACAATATTGGAAACCCCCAAAGCTCACTTTCAGAATACCTGGTGTATATTAGTTCCTCAACAAATATTTGTTGATGAGAATGTCAATTTTGCGAGCACTTGGAAGCAATACTCAAAAGCCTTTTTGCAGCTAGTGGAATCTGCCTGAAGCTGATTTTATACTGAAAAGTAATTTTTTCTGAGCCTTGTCCTTACAGGAGTCTTGTAAAACCTCTTGGCAGAATCCAGCACAATCCCCTCTGCCCTGAACTCAAAGACCTTCTCCTTGGGGAAGTATCATTTTAGCTGAGAGTTTATGGGCAAGGATGGACAAGAAGGGGTCAGCATCACAGGTCTGGCAACCTCTCACCTGCTGAGGAAAGCAGTCTCAATCTCCCATGCTGGAAAGGTGCTTAACTTGCTTGGTTTCTGCTAGAAGCAGGTGCTGGATCCTTTGTAGCTAATGCTACTTAGTGAACCCCAGAAATAAATACAAGGGAACACTAAGAATGCTTATTTCAACTAGCTAAACTTGGGCAGGTCACATCCTGCAACCTCAAGGATTTATTTCCTTTACTCAAAAATGGGAAAAGAGCTCCAGAATTAAAACTGAATGATTAAAAAAAATCATAACCTGTATAGATGCAACTAAAATGAAAACTGCATTTTGGTTAAAATATAAAATTCAAGGAAAATCCACTTGATTTTTGTTTTTTGTATTTTGTTATTTCATAGAGGTAAACCATTACAAATTCTTCCTTTTTCTCCCTTCCTCCACAAATACAACAGGCAAAATTTTCTACAAAATTGTTTTTTCCAAGAAATTTCTTCCATGCTGTGCTCTCATCTATGAGGAGTTACAAATAAAACAGAATAGAGGGATAGGAAAAGAGGCTGATCCCCCGCCCTTTGAAAATGTGTTATTTATTTATTGGAGGGTCTGCTTTTTTTAAAGACTTTATTTTTTAGACCAGCTCATGCAAAATTAAGCAGAAGGCATAGAGAAGCCCCACATGCCCCTGGCCCCACACATGCTCACCCTCCCCCACTGTCTACCACTCCACCAGAATGGTACATTTATTACATCAGCCTGCATCAGCACACCATGATCTCACCAAGCTGACAGTTTATCTCAAGCTTCACTCCTGGTGTTATATATTCTGGGTTTAGACAAATGGTTAAAATGGTATCCACCTCTCTAGTACTCAAGCCCAGAGTATTTTCACTACCCTAAAACTCCTTTGGGCTTTGTCTATTCATCCTTTGCTCTCTCCCAATCCTGAGCACCTTCTGATCTTTTTATGTTTTATAGTTTTTGCCTTTTTCACATTGTCACCTATTTGGAATCATTCAGTATATGAACTTTTCAGGCTGCCGTCTTTCACATAGCAATAGGTAGTTAACATTCCTCCATTTTTTTTTCATGGCTTGAAACACATTTTGTTGAAGTATTGGATAATATTCCATTGTCAATACCACAGCTTATTTATCTACTCACCGCTGAATGGTATTTGGTTGCTTCCAAATTTTATCAATTGTGAATAAACATTCTCTGCAGAGTTTTGTTGGGACACCAGTTTTCAACTCCCTTATTTAGAAATGTTTTATTAATACACTGAAAAATTCCAGTTGACCTAGGTAGCTAAGTAGCCTTTATTTATTTATTTTTCTTTAATGCTGAATGATTTATCTTTTTTTTTCCCACTGGTGGATAGTGAATATAATAAAGTCTTTTCCTTCCTTCATGCCATCAAATATGTTTTTGTTGTTTATTGAAATTTTTTTCAAAACAGAATCTGGCAGTCCACAAGCTTCTGCAGCTCATCCTAGAGAGTGAGCTGTGGGGCATCTTTCTTCTCATGCTGTTTTTCCTCTTTTGGCAAAGACCTCTTGCCATCCCTCCTGCTTCTACCTCTCATGTTTTTGTCTTTTCTCTCCTCTTTCTTTGTAATATCTGCTCACTCTGACCATCTGTATCTCTCTTTGTTCTTTCTCAGAACTCGTTTTTTTTAAATTTATTTATTTATTTGTTCTATTTATATGACAGCAGAATGCATTTTGATTCATTGTACACAAATGGAGCACAACTTGTCACTTCTCTGGTTGTATGCAATACCATGTGTGCAGTCATACATGTACCTAGGGTACTGATTTTCATATCATTCCAACATCTTTCCTGCCCCCATTCCCCCTCCCCTCCCCTCCTTCCCCTTTTCCCAAAGTTCCTTCATTCTTCTCATGCCCCCACCATTATGGATCAACATCCACTTATCAGAGAGAACTTTTGGCCTTTGGTTTCTGGGGATTAGCTTACTTCACTTAGCATGATATTCTCCAACTCCATCCATCTACCTGAAAACGCCATGATTTTATTCTCTTTAAATGCTGAGTAATATTCCACTGTGTATATATACCACAGTTTCTTTATCCAATTCATCTATTGAAGGGCATCTAGGTTGGTTTCACAGTTTAGCTATTGTGAATTGTGCTGCTATAAACATTGACATGGCTGCATCACTGTAGTCTGTTGATTTTTAAGTCCTTTGGGTGAAGACCAAGGAGTGGGATAGCTGGTTCAAATGGTGGTTTCATTCTAAGTATTTTAAGGAATCTCCATACTCTTTTTAAGTGTGGTTGCACCAATTGCAGTGCCACCAGCAGTATATGAATGTACTTTCCCCCCCACATCCTTACTAACACTTATTATTGCTTGTATTCTTGATAATTGCCATACTGACTGGAGAGAAATGAAATCTTAGAGTAGTTTTGATTTGCATTTCTCTAATTACTAGAGAAGTTGAACATTTTTTTATGTATTTGTTGATCTATGGTGTATCTTCTTCTGTTCAGTTCCTTAGCCCATTTATTTGATTGGGTTCTTAATTTTTTGGTGTTAAGTTTTTTGAGTTATTTATATATTCTGGAAATTATTTCTCTATCAGATGTTTGTGTGGTAAAAATGGTCTCCCAGTCTGTAGGTTCTCTCTTCACATATTGATTGTTTCCTTTACTGAGAAGAAGCTTTTCAGTTTGAATTCATTATTTATTAATTCTTTATTTTATTTCTTGTGCTTTAGGAGTCTAGTTAAGGAAGTCAGGACCTAATCCAACATGATGAAAATTTGGGTCTACTTTTTCTTCTATTAGGTGCATGGTTTCTGGCCTAATTCCTAGGTCTTTGATCAGCTTTGAGTTGATTCTTGTGCCAGGTGAGAGATAGTGGTTTCATTTCATTCTGCTGCATATGGATTTTCAGTTTCCCCAGCACCATTTGTTGAAGGGTCCCCTTTTCCAATGTATGTTTTGGACACCTTTGTCTAGTATGAAATAACTGTATTTATGTTACTTTGTCTCTGTGTCTTCTATTCTGTACCATTGGTCTACCTGTCTGTTTTGGTACCAATACCATGCCATTTTTTTTGTTTGTTTGGCTGTTTTGTTTTTTGTTTTTTGGGTTTTTTTTTTTTTTACTATAAATCTGTAGTATAGTTTAAGGTCTGGTTTTGTGATGCCTCCTGCTTCACTCTTCTTGATAAGAATTGCCTTGACTATTCTGTGTCTCTTATTTTTCCAAATGAATTTCATGATTGCTTTTTCTATTTCTATGAAGAATGTTGTTGGGATTTTAATTGGAATTGAATTAAATTTGTATAATGCTTTTGGTAGTATGAGCATTTTGATGATATTAATTCTCAAACTATCATTACTTGCCGATGACATGATTCTATACTTAGAGGATCCCAAATGCTCCATCAGAAAACTTCTAGAATTTATAAATGAACTCAGCAAAGTAGCAGGATACAAAATCAATATTCATAAGTTAAATGCATTTCTATACATCAGTGATAAACCCTCTGAAAGAAAAATTAGGAAAACTACCCCATTCAAAGTAGCCTCAAAAAAAAAAAAAATACTTGGGAATCAATCTAACAGAAGATTAGATTGATTCACAATGAAAACTATAGAACAACAAAGAAAGAAATTGAAGAGGATCTTAAAAGATGGAAAGATCTCTCAGAGCTCTTGACTCGAAACTTGGGCTGCTTCATGCTATCATTTTTGGAGATGGACAGATTTAATCAGTATTTTCTTCCTTCCTTTGAATATCTTTTAGGTTCCTGATGATGCTTGTCTTTCTTAATAGATTTTGTTCATGTTTTTACTTCATTTCTCTTTAAATTCTTTTTTGTTTGGTTGGTTTCTTGTGTTTTTTTGTGGGTTTTTTTTTTTTTTTGTCATTGTTGTTTTGTTTTTTTGTTTGCTTGTGTTCTAACTGTAAGAGAGAGAAGGTGATTTTATCCCCATTGTTTCTCCAGGTTTTCATCCATTGTATTTTGTAATATGGGTATATAATTACGTTCAAAGTCCAAAAGAATAACCATGGGTAGGGGGAGTCAAGCATGATTTCTGCGTACTTTTTTACAGCATTCTATGTTTTCTGAAATTGTCTGATACAAATATAGGTAGCTAGAACACACTACCTGATTATTTATATTTTGTCCAGGAGAAATTTTTTTAAAAAAGAAAATTATTGGTGGTACTGGGGATTGAACCTGGATCTTGTGCATACTAGGCAAGTGCTCTACCACTAAGCTACACCCCAGCCCTAGGAAAACAATCTTAATGAGCACCTGGCTTTAGGTCTGGCTTCTAGTTTTCCCTCAAACCTTTTCCTTATCTGCCTTCACCACCAAACATAACCAATAGTCCTTGAGAACTGTGGAAGTGATCTGATGGTTAGCAGGACCTTCACAACTGCAAGTCATGGGTCACTTCTGTTGATTCCCCAAGGCTCAGCTCCAGCTGCCAGTTGTTCCTAACTGGAAGAAACACAGGGAAATTAGTACAAACTGCTTTATGGAATCCAGGACCCTTAATCCAATATGACAATTATTTATAAAAGCTGCAGATGATAGCAGATAGGGGTGAGACATAGTGATGCTTATGCATTAGATAGTGTCACACTGGGATCACAGAGTTTATTTTTATTTTCCCTATTCATTCATTCATTTATTTATTTTAGCATTCTTATTGACTACTCTTATTGACTACTGCATGCTCATTTAGTTGCATGATGAGTGTTGCGATTTCACTCCTCACAGATAACCTCAAATAGTAAACTATGGCCCGTCACCCAGTAACTAAAGGGCCCTGAATAAAATGTAGGTTTCCAATTTTCCTTCCAACTGGTGGAATCATTAACATTGGTTAGCTCCTTTCCAAGCAGGCAGGAATCAGAGACAGATGTAATAAATCTTGACCAGGCACACCTTAACATGCTTACAAATTGGTTGCCACTCCTTGTACTCCCACTCCACTATGACTGTGGCTTGGTATTTCATGAAAATCAACCATTCTGTTCTAAAACCTTTGGGTGGTTGGAGTATTAAATAAAAGTAAGCTTCTGTCCTCATGAATCAACTCACGTATTCTCACAAATCAACATTTCATTTATTTATGCCACAAACATTTATTGAACATCTACTATGTGCTAAAAATCCTAAAACAATGAGTAACATGAAAATTTCCTTGAAAAGAACTTCTTTCACTGAGGAATGCAAACACATTAGTGAATAAAAGGGAAGCAGAATTATAAAACAGTATTGTGGAAAATGTAGCTATTTATAGGAGGGAGAAGGAGAGGATAGAGTTAAAAGGCTGTATATTAAGCTTTGTTATCATTGTATGAACAATATTGTCTTTGAATTGAACTCATTAAAATTAGTTAATATATGTATATATCATGAGCTATCATTGGAAGATGCCTTTTTATTGCCATTTTTTATTTTGGTAATTCACATTTAGTACCTCTAATCACTTTGTTTCTCAATATCTCAGTTTTCTTATTTTTGCATTTGAGTTAATTATTTATTCAACATTTTACAAGTATGTAGATTAGGCAAATTTTAAATATATACTTATATATCAAAGAGGTAATTGAAAATATCAAGTAAATCTATGAACCTAAAAAATTTGAGAATGATAATGACATAATGTAAAGTACATATTATAATTATTATTACCTTATATGAGAGGGGGGAAAAGTGATAAACCCAATATACACATAAAAGGAAAATTTATGAAGTGAATATATGCATATGATAAATGGTGAGAAAAACCTATTTTCTATTTTTTTTTCTCTGTCTCTATTTTCAGAAATAAGGAACACTCTTATCCATTTGCTACAGCAAAGGCTAAAGGAAGTTTTAGAGCCTTTAACATTTCAAAGTCTGAATGATAGATCATAGATAATAACTGTCCTGGATGCTGGGTAAATAATTGAATAAATCTAAAAATGGGAAGTACATTATCCTGAGGCCCTGGTGATACTCTTCCTGAATAATGTTATTCAGTCAAAGCTAACAAGACTTAACTTTAATTCCTCCCAAATTAATATTTTTCTCCCTCCTGAGAAAGTAGTTTCCAGATGATTCAGTCAATATTGCAATGTAACTTCAAAATAATAATAGTTTTGATGTGTTCATGGTTATATTGGTAACTTATTTTCATTGGTAGTTAAATTTCTATGACACAGAGAATATAGATCAATAGTAGCCTTGTTATTACATTATGTCTTGCCCTTTTATAAAAATCTTCAATATCAGATAAAATCCAAAATTACTTTTTTCATTTTAAAAACCCCTTTGAATGAATTTGTAACTTACTCTATTTTGCATTAAACATTTTAATGCAAAATATAACTTTTCTCTGTCAATAAGCAATCTTCTAAACTCAAGCTGCAACTGCTAATAATCACATGAGACCCAGTCCTAAGTAGATTAAAGGACAGCTGATTGAAGATGACAGCAATTCTTGAAGGATCTGAAGGTCCATCAGAATATCACATCTAGGAAACTGCTGGCCATTAAGCCATTGGGTTGCAAATTTAAGCTTAAAGGGACATTACTTTCTTTTGAAATAAATTAATCATATTATTACTGAGGTATTCTGAATCCCAGTTT